TAAGTAAATTTTCTCTTTTTTGATAAAAAAAAAAATCAATTTTTATTTTTGTAATTATCCAACCGCAACCACCCGCAACCGCAAAAGCTCGAGAGAATGAGTTTTTGGATTTGAGAAGTTTGGAGCGACACGGAGTGTTGTAAGACGTTTTCCATGATTGTTGTCAAATGCCAACAACTGCTACCGCAAACGCTGCGTTTGCGGGTAGTAGCAAGTGAACCAATCAACTCTTTATTATAATTTAGTTTCATCTAGTATTAGTTTTTAGCTTATCTTTCTTATTTAGAATAAATTTCAAACACAAATTCAAATAATTAACTAATTTTAACTCCAGCGAAGATTTGGAATTAATTTTATTGATAGATTTGAAAGTTTAGTTGGTAACTTTGTAGGAAAAAAAGTAGAAAAATTATAGCATAGAATTAATATATCGTATTTTATTCTAATTTTCTTATTATGAAAAAACGATGATTATATTTTGTTAATTAATGTATTTTAGCATCGCCTTAGGTCTTTGTATCTCTAGGAAAGGCTCGGCAAATGTGGATATAAGGGATGATTATGCTACGATTTAAGTTAGTGTAAGAAAAGATGAAATTAACCACTTACAAAAAACACCCAAATCGCATCGACGCACTCTAAATCGGGAATCAATCACCCACGTCTCTTAAACGGTATAATCCGATAAAAAAAAATTAATAAAAAAAAAGAAAAACATGATCTCCTTCTTAACAAGAACAAAAAAAAAAAAGGAAATACAACAGCTTTTAAGAAAAAAGGAAATTACCAGTCGAAAAAAAAAAGAAAAAAAGGAAATAATAAATGAGAAAAGGAAAACAAAAATGGACGTTAGAGGTGCTTTTACGAAAGGAAAAACAAAAAAAAAAAGGAAATTACATTTGCGCGTTTCTTATAAATTACACACACTAATCAATTTTCTTCTTCACGATCACAACATATCTCAGTTTCTCTTATTACGCGACTCATAATCGTCTGTCTCTGATTTTGTTCAATTCATCAACGATGGAAACTCAAGCATTCAAGGTCGAAGTTAATACTACTTGCGTTAGGTATCAAGATCCGTGGAAAAGCGAGGTGTTAATCAGTCTAAGTCGGCAAGTCGAGGAATTTCTCTTAGACGAGAGCGACGGTAGTGTCTGGAGTCTCGGGTCTTACCCTTCTTCTTCTCCTCCCGACCCGTTAATCTCTCTCGAGTTCCAAAATCTCAGATCAAAAAACGTCTTCGAACATCTCCTTCACCATCTCCACGACCCTCTCTTGTCTGGACTAGTTTATGATGAGATTCTTGACCGAGCCCAAGGGAGAGACTTGTCACAGCGATCCTTGTTCATGATGATCGAAGCCAAAGTCACCCAGAAAGAGTACCTCGTCGTGCCTTCTTCTGTATATGCTCGTTCGACGGCAACAGTTGTTTTGGACCAAGAGCCCTGTGCGATCTGTTTGGAAAACATGTCGGAATCGAAGACCAACCCCATCTGCCAGTTGCCTAACTGTGCGCATCTCTTTCATGAACATTGTCTGAACAAGTGGCTAGATCGACAACAAAACGCATGCCCTCTTTGTCGTCAATCTGTCGACATCTTAGCTTGAGAGAGGTTTCATTACGGTTCCAACTATGCATGTTTTCTGCTTGTAATGATTTGGTTAATCCGTCTTGGAAGCCTAGCTAGTAGTAAGGGTTTCACTTATTATGTTTCTTTTTTTAGTTGATCTTTGTCTTTTAATTAGGGTTTATGTATCAATCTCGCTACTGTTTTTTTTTTTTTTTGTCAGCAATGTAACTCAAGTTGATTTAATGAAATTCATATTCTCAGCTTCAAATTCGCTTTATTAAATTCCACCACAAATTTCCATTTTGGCAAGTGACAGCATTAATGCCCAAACCAAATTTTGTTTCAGATAACAAAACAAAAAAAAAACAAACCTTTTCAAGTTATAGTACTGAACCAATAACATAAATTGTTGGCTTAAAAGATGGGAAACGAAACAAACCAGGTTCAAGTAGTTTCATAATGTAGATCGTGATAAAAGAAGAGAAAGTGCAAAAAAAAGGTTCAGATCCTGGGTTCTGGATATCGAAACATCTCTCAAAATCACCAGTGACTCTATCTACCGATTAACCTCACTCTAGACGATCAAAGCTCGACATGCTTGAAATGATACTCGTCGATTGTCGAGTATATAAGACCATCGCCTTCCAGTGACTGAATAACACCTCTGTCACAAACAACAACCGAAAAACAAAGCAAACTCATCAAAATCAATAACTTTGTAACTAGAGATAGATTTTACAAAGAGAAAGAAATGGCGTACTCTAGCTTGCTCTTTGGGATCTTTAATTGCTGAGCAATTTCATCCAAGTGTATCCCCTGTTGTCTTGCACTGCAGTGAACAAACAGCAATTTAGATCAAATTTTAGGCGGTGCAACGGGTAAAGCAAATTCAAACTCACGTGCAAGCAGGTTGTTTTAGATAGTCCAGAATCATATCATCTAAGTTCTTTCGACCGTTTCCATCATTGTTTTGAGATGAAACCACCTACAAAAGAGCAACACAGATTAGATTTTCAAGCACATAAATCATGTCACATAGAAAATCCATTTTTTTATTGGTAAATCTCATCGTACAGGGTTCAATGGGGTTGTCTGATTCGTGCTAACCGATGTATTGACCACATGAGATTGAGTGGCATCACCAACTTGTTGTCCCATCTAAGAAACACACATGTCAGTTATAGGATTGATTGCAAATTGTGAACTTAACAACAACACAGTTAAATCTTTTGTTATGTTCCATTTTCTTTACCTGTGATTCAGAGTTCTGTGAATAAAAGTGTATACACTCAATATAGTGAAAGGTAACCTCATTGAAGTCCATAATAGGCCTGCACAACAAAACAATCTTTGATAATCTTATATAGAACATACCAAAACCTATTCCCAAAGATAAAAGGAATTCAAGTGTTTCAATATCAAAAGACAAAAACATATATACCTGACAGAGAAAACAAGAAGCTGCTTTTTCCCCTGAAAAGTCTTCAAATGTCCATTGAGACGCGCATAGGTTCCATCACTGCTTTAACAAACTTAAAAGATAAGAAAACACCTTCCAAGAAATGTGAATCTCACTAAAATACTAATCAGAGAAAACCAGAAGATACTAACCTCACAGCCTCCATTTCTTTACCATCAAAAGATTCATTCAGCCTAATAACAAAAGCCACACATAAATTGAACTTAGCAATGTACCTACAAGAACTGTTGGCATCTATCAAGAGAAGAAGATATATTTGTATTACCATCTTTTACAGTCGATTCGTCCTGTTCCATCGTCAAGAGTGAATCTAACTTCAGTGACTTTTGAGACGTCTTTGTCACACACTAGCCCAACAAGTGAGACCTGAATAAGCCAAAGCATCAGTCACACAATTGAATAACGAAAAAGACAGTAAGAAATCTGGTAATGGTTTCTAAGAGATTATACGTTTGTAAGTTCAATTCCGTTGATGACGATACCAGATTTTTCACCACCGGACTGAGAAGATTCGGTTATTTGCTTCACCGTCACTGGGACGAGTCCTTGAAAATCACGATTCTGTATTCCCCGAAGCAGATTTAGTATTCCCAAATCGACAAATCTAGGGCAAAAACGAAACAGGAATCGGAACGTTTCGAAAAGAAGATGGAATTACCTTAGCAGTGGAGGAGGAGGAGGTTTCGTAAGCCTGAGAAGGCTGAGAAGACATGAATCCGCCGCCGGAGAAGGCGGAATTCGGCTCGAATTGGCTGCTGGAGAACATTTTCGAAGCTCACAGATCGGAAATTCGGTGAGAGAGAGACGGAAGTTTAGAATCGATCAGAGAAGATTATGAGAATTTAAGAGCGATGAACGAATTATTTGGGGATTTTCCCTCCAATATCGATTAAGCTTCCCGCCAATTAGGTCTCAAGTGGCATTACCCAAACGATACAGTGACACACAAATACTAATTTGGTTATTGTAATTCCAATTAC